CTTGCAGCAGGGGGCGGTGAAGAGAAAGCCCTTCCCCCAGGGTGTCCGTCCCTCTAGATTAATAGACGAGTCGGTGCTGTGTGTGACCACCTGAGAGGCAGGGGTGGCTTTTCACCTCCATTGTGCAGTGAGGGACTTGGAACTCAGGCCATGTTGTGTCCCCGGGGCCAGCCAGGGAGGGCTCCGTGCCTTGCAGATTTTCCCGTGCAGGGCCCCTCCCCGGCTGTGCAGATGGGCCCGCTCCCAGCCCTCTGCACCCGTGCCTCTGAGTGCTGTTCCTCGGTTGGGTCTCAGTCCCTGGTGCCTTTCTGGTCCCCTCTCCCGGGAGGTACCACAGTAGGGGAGCTGGATTGGTCTTGGCGTTTGGGGCACGGTTCTCCTCTCTGTTCAGACGCCCTTTTGCTGTGTGGGACTGGAAAAGTCTCTTCCCCTCTCTGAGCTCAGCCCCCACCTCTGTCAAAGTGGGGCGGGAAGAATGCAGAAGGGGTATTAGTTGCACCTCCTGCAAGAAGAGAGGAACCACTGGAAGGGAATTCAGTAACGAGACCTAACTTTCAAGAGCACTTGCAACGACGTGCCAGGTGCCCAGAGGCTTCACCTGCCCCGACTCGTGTCCTTCTTGGCAGAGCCCCGTGGGCTGTGAATACTGTGCCTGCAGATGAAGAAACTGAGGCAAAGCCTCAGGCCATCTCACAAGGCTGGGGCGGGGTGGGAGGTGGTGTGGAAAAGCAAATCAAATCGGGTCGAGTCCAGGGCTACTGAGTCAGCCAAAACCGAGGAACCAGGGACCTGGACCGAAGGAGGCGCAGAGAAGACGGCCATTATTCTGCACCGCCCTTTCCTGCAAAAGCTTTTGCTGGGACTGAAGGTGTTTGGATCCAGAGCTGGAGAAAGCAAGTTGAAAACAGTGGCCGCAAGGCTCCTTCGCTAGACTGAGCTTCGGCCACCTCCCCCTGCAGGGACACAGGAATCAGAGGTGACACCTGCAAGGAGGACACACCTCCGTAGACGTCCCAGCTCTCCTTGGAGAAGGGCTGTGCCCTCTCAGTGAGGGCGCACCAGAGACGCCCACCATCACGGGGGACTGAGGGGCGGCCCCCACCGTCCCAGTCCCCATGTGGAACAGGGTAATGGGCCCCTGCTCTGCCTGCCCTTGAGGAGGAAACAACCTTCTCTCCAACCGGCGCCTCTGCGTTTTTGCCGTACACAGTATGCGCAGTTCTCTGGGCCAAGGACGGGCCACCCAGATGACCAAAGAGAGGAAATAGGCGATAGAAATAGACCCACGTGAATCAGACCCAAATGTTATCCAAATGTCACAGGCCGAGATGGAGCAGTTCAATTTACTGTGATAATTGACTGCAGGGAGGTGGATGACAAGAGGGAGGACTCCGCGAGAAACCTGCAGCTTGCACAGGGATTGGGCGGATGGAAATGCCGGCCCTGAAAAGTACGAGAAGTAAAATCGGCTTGGGGCACGATTCAGACGCAGGAGGCACAGCAGACAAGAGGGTGAACCAGGCGGTGTCCACCTTAGGAAGTTGAAAAGACAGCAGCGTTCAAACCCGAAGAAATGTTGAGGAAGCAAGTAATAAAGAGAGCAGGTCTCGGTGGGATGGAAGCGTCCCAGGGATTTAGAGCTACAGCGGCCAGTCCTCGCCGCCATCCCTCTGCTGACAGGAAGCGTACCTTCCTTAGTGCTCCTCCTTAGGGAGGTCCGTACCTTCCGGGCCCTGGCTTGGGTGTTGCTGGTGACCCCGTTAGACTGTTCTGTGTTCTCTGCATCCCTCCTGCAGAAAGGACAAGGAGCCAGGGCTCCCCCTCCCTCTCCTCTGGCTCTTTGTTTCGGGAAGGTGTGGCCCACTTGGCAGGCCCGGATCCTTGGCCCGCGGCGTCTTGGCCCAGGTTCCATCTCCGGGAGCCAGGGCTGGGGTTGCGCCTGTGTTGCGGGCTGCCTCCCTGAGCAGAGGACAGGGAGGTCACACACACCTCCTTTCTTCCCCAGGGCCTGGGGAGGGGAGGGGTGGGGGGGGCCTTCTTGCTTTTCTGCTGTTTTTTTTCCCCCAGTGTTTTCAAAAGCACTAATTGTTACCAGCCCAGGAGCCTCTGCTGGTAAGTGGGAGCCCAGTGAGTGCCGCGGCCCAGGAAATGTGGCTACCAGGCTGGGCCAGATGTGGGGGGAGGAGGGTGTTGCCGCCCCCTGCCCTGATTCTGAGCTCAGCCTCGCCCTTGCTCTCATTCCACCCCTGGCATGAGCTGAGCGCATTCGTGTCTCACACGGAGCTAGGACGCGCTGGGGAACCTAGCCTCTCATCCAGAATCTTATTTGATCAATGTCATTTATTGACGTGAACTTTACTCTGCCCTTGCTTGGCATTGGGATGCAAAGTCAGGAAGAGCATCACAGACACCCCCCCCATCCCAATGACAAATGCAGTGAGACCCTGTCACCCCTCAGCTCAGACCCTCCAGTGGGCTCTGTGTCACTCAGAGAAAACCTAGTCTTGGGGACAGCTGCCACACGCTCTCACCCACCACCCCTCCCCACACATGCCCGCTTCTCTCCTCCACGCTGATCAGGCATACCAGGTTCCTTTCTGCCACCTTAGAATCACGTGTCATGCATCTCAACCACCTAACTCAGTGCCAGCCCAGCCCAGGGCCCAGCAAAAACACACAGTGAGTGAACTGGATGGGTGGGCAGATCTTGCTTGATTGACAGCGCCGAGATGTGAGCCAAATCTCTATTATCAGCCCCATTTTGCAGTTCAAGGAATGGTTCAGAGAGATTAGGTATCTTGTTCACAGTCACACAGCAAATGGGGGATGCGGCGTCCTCTGACTCTGTGCTCTTGCTTGGGCGTCCACAGCATCAGCCCTTGCCTCCCCCCCACTCACTTCTGCATCCCCGATGCCATGTGTGTGCCAGGTGGCGGGGACATAGTGAGTGAGACTGAGCATCTATCCTCTTGGAGCTCCCAGACCAGGGAGGAAGGAGACAGATAAGTAAACAGGGCAGGCAGAAGGGAGCCAGGACGCTGTGGACACCCGGGGAGGCCCTTCCTCGCGCCAGGGGTGGGCAGGCCTTTCTCAAGGCGTCAGTGCCAGCTCAGCCCTGAAGGATGAGTAAGCACCCAGCAGGGTGGGACGGCTTTTCTGCACAGCGGGGTCAGTTTGGGCAGGAGTCCAGAGGCAACAGGGAGTGTGACCTGTGAGTCAGTTGTGTTGCTTGAGGTTGTAAACAGTCTGCTTTACACAATAAAGGGGATTTATTATCTCACGTCCCTGAGAGGTCAAAGTGTAGGGCAGGCTGCAGGAGCAGCTACATCAGGGACTCAACAGCACTTCTCTGGTCCCGTCCAGCAACCCCCTCTTCCATGAGCAGGCAGAATGACCGGCATGACCCTGACTTCCACATCCAAACATCAGACAGACCAGAGCAAAAGAAAGATTCTGCCCTTTGGACAAAAGTCAGGGGTTTTACTGTGATTGGATAGAATTAGGGCACGTTCTCATTAGGACGGACCTTCAGGGTAAGAGGGGTGGGAACCCTCTGCCGGCCGGTTAAAGCAGAAGGAGCCGGCCTTGGAAGGTTAATCTGGCTCCAGAGCTGCTCCTCAATGGAGGGGCTGGGGGGTGGCTGGAAAGGGAGGACCATGGTCACCATTAGGTTCCAAATACAAGCCAGATTGTCAGGAAAGTGGACAATGGAGCAGTAGGCAAATCAGAGTGACCCTGCCGACTGAGCTGAGGTGCTGAGGAAGCTGGAAGGGGCCGTTGTGGGTGTGTAACCATTTCCGAGCAGCCTCTGTCTACCCAAAGGTAATCGCTCTTCAAATGTCACTGTCCTGGAAGAAAATGTACCCTGCTTATTTGATGATCTGCAGGTTGAGGATGGGGGAGACTTGTTCAGACAAGTAGAGATGGGGGCACAGTCCAAGCAAAGACCAGAAAGATTCATTCATGGTCAAGGGCAAAGGTGTGACCACAGCTTTCTCTGCAGAACCTGGACAACATCAGTAAGTCGGGGGACCTATGGTTGCTTCCTTTGATTACGAGTACTCCCCCTTCTTTATGTCCCTCCAACTCTGTCCTCTGGAGACCGGTTACCAGACAGAAGGCCACCTTCGGTGTAGAACCCCCGTCCCTGTGCCCGGTGCCCTGGCCCCTCCAGGTTCACGGAGTCAGAGGATTGTGGGTCTGGATTCAGACCTGCTCTTCCTTCCCCCGACAACATGGGAAACCCCTATTTCTCAGCTGGCAGTAGACTTTGAGGATCATCTGAGTAAACAGATTTGCGCGAAGAATATGCCATCATGTCTGGCTTCTAGTGGGTCATCCAAGAACACTCATTTGTTGAAAAAGGAAAATAAAGGTTGAACAATTGCCTGACAGACACCAGAAGCTCAGCAGCTATCATTTTATCTTATCTTCCTAACCATTCATTCTGTAAGTGGATGCAGCATTACCCCATTTTACGGAAAGGAAACTGAGAGCCAGGAAGGTCGACAAACCAGAATTTGAACTTGAACTTGGGCCATCTAAAGTCCACTCTGTGGGACTGAGGATAAGTGGTGGAACCTGAATGCCAGGGTGTGCGGAAGCCGGGACGAGCCCCCTTTTACGTTGTCGGCGTTGGGATCTAAATGGGGTGAAGGGGGTGGGGGGGCGTGTCCTCAACAGTCGCTGCAACTGCATCATTGACTCAGTTCCCGAAATTGGGTCGAATGCTTAACTGTTCTAGGAAAAATGGGTGGGACGCCCTGTGTCCCTCACCAGCCTGGCAGAATAGGCCTTGATGTCTCATCATATTATGTGCACAGACCAAGGCTCAGCGGGTAAAAAAATCATTCATAGTCTCCTGCCACATTGGCTTGACGACCAAGCAGCAGGTGATAGAATTCATCCTGGAGGAGGTGGGGACAGAGACTGTTTTTTTTTTTTTTTTTTTAACACAATAATAGAAGTTCATCCTGTTTTCTTCCTCCTTCTCTGTGCAGATGACAGACGACCCTCCGTGCCTTTGTCAAGCCCACTGCCTGATCACCACCGCTCTGGTGACAGCATGGTCGGCCAGCTCTAAATAGGGATCTTCGTACACCATCCTTCCCAGGGGACAGTGACAAAGACAGCTTCCTTCTGTCCTGCACTGAGAACCTTCCTTCCAGGTCCTCGCCCCTGAGGGACCCGACACCTTCACCAAGATTAATTACCCCTCAACCCCTTTGGACAGAAAAGGAGATCACTGGTATTAAGTCTGATGAACGTTTCATCAGGAGACAGTACCGGTGGCCTGAGGTTTGCTGACGGACCAGCCTGCTTTATTTCTGGAAGAGACAAATTTTGTGCGAGAAGAGTCATCCCACCCTGAATGGTCCACGTGGCCTTTGGGGGTCCGTCAGCAAGACGAAGGGAAGTCGGCCATAGCAGGGCTCGAGGTCCCCCCGGGAGTCCCTGCCTGGCCTTGGGACCGAGCCCCCACCTCTGGGCTTCTTCCTCCAGGTTCCTCCTCAGCCAGGCACGGCTTCCTCCCACCCACCCCTGGGAGTCCTCCTCAGGACGGCAGACATGGCGACCATGAGGAGAAGGACCCTCAAAGTCCTCACCCTCCTTGTCCTCTTCATCTTCCTCACCTCCTTCCTCCTGAATTACTCCCACATCATGGTGACCACCAGCTGGTTCCCCAAGCAGATCGTCATCGAACTCTCGGAGAACTTCAAGAAGCTGATGACCTACTCCCACAGGCCCTGCACCTGCGCCCGCTGCCTCAGCCAGCGCGGGGTCTCGCCCTGGTTCGACGAGCGCTTCAACTGGTCCGTGCAGCCGCTGCTGACGGCACAGAATGCGCTCTTGGAGGACAACACCTACAGCTGGTGGCTGGTGAGAGTGGGGGTGGGGGGGGGGGGGGCCCCGGCGCCTGGGCACACACCTGGGGCCCTGCTGGGCTCTTTGCAAGAATCACATTGGTCATTCCTTCACTCGTATGTTCATTTAAAAACCACTTGCTGAGGACCTACTATGTGTAAGCCAGAGCAGAAGGCGCTGCGAGGACACTCTGGCCTGAGCACTTCGCAGTGTTGGGGTGCACAGGGGCCCTTCCTGGTGGGGACCTCCACTGGGGCCACTGTCCCGGGGATTTTCGGAGTGTGGTCCCACACCAGCAGCGGCAGCCCCACGGCCTGGGAGCCTGTTGGACGGGCAGAATGTGGGGTCCAGCCCAGCCTACCTGAGTCAGGACCTGCACAGTGGGGCGACCCTGGGAGGTCACCCACTCAGGAGCTTGGAGCTGCCCCAGGAGGTCTTATCAGAAGCACGTGTTTAATCCTGGGTTATCGCTTTGCTTTTAGTATTTATCACTGTAACCATTTGTAGGTGTGCATGTCAGTGGCCCTAAGGACATTCACAGGGTCACAGGAGCAGCAGCACTGTCTAGACCGGCATCATCACCCATGGTCCTGCCCCTAACTCCCTCCCCCGAGCCCCTGGCATCACCATTCCACTTTCTGTCTATGAACTTGACTCTAGGAACCTCATGTGAGTGGAGTCACACTCTCCCTCCTTGTGTGTCTGGCTCACTGCACTAAGCACATCTCCAAAGTCCACTCGGGCTGTAGCTTGCGTCAGAATTTCCTTCCTTTCTTAGGACGGAATGATAATTCCACCGCATGTACACTACGCATTGTTCGATCTACTCATCTGTCACTGGACATGGGGTGGAGCCCCCACCTGCCCTCCCCTCCCCCCGCCAGGGGCAGCACAGCCGGGCTGACCTGTCCCCTTCGGTCCCCTGCCCACAGAGGCTCCAGCGGGAGAAGCGGCCCAGCGACTTGAATGACACCATCAAGATGCTTTTCCGAGTGGTGCCAGGGAACGTGGACCCGCTGCTGGAGAAGAAGTCGCAGGGTTGCCGGCGCTGCGCCGTCGTGGGCAACTCGGGCAACCTGCGGGGGTCCAAGTACGGGTCCCAGATAGACAGCCACGACTTCGTGCTGAGGTGAGTGCCTGGCCCCTCGCCCGGGCCCCGATGGGCCTCTGTGCCCTGTGATGCGGGCACAACAAGGCGGGGACGGACTCACGGGGCCTCTCTGGAGGCAGAGGGGACCAGTGGGCCGGGAGCTTGGCCACAAGAGTTCTGGCCAGACAGCAAGATTGACTTGAAGATTCTCGTTTGATCTTTACAATTTTCCCCATTTTGCAATCTAGGCCGTACTGTAACTATACGCTTTTAGTGTAAAATGCATTTTCCTGCCACCAAGTAGAATAGATATTCCAGGAAGGAGCCCCCCATCTCCTCTGGGTTTCTTGTAATTGCTGTTCTCAGAGCCTCAATGTACACCTGGAGGTCAATAGGGCCGTCCACGGCGAGGGGGACGGAGTCAGGTTCAGGGTCGGACAGTCTGGAGTCCGAGGCTGCCATTTTTTAGCTCTGTGTCCTAGGACAGACTCTGTGTGCTCAGGTCTCCTTGACAGTGAAGTCCTTGCTGGGCACGGCGTCCTACAGTTTAACGAGGTGTGTTGCTTGGCCACTGCAGTGCTTGCACTTAGTAGGTCGTCAGTGGTAGTGACAGTTAAGCTCACTTGAGATCGTAAAAGAGAAAAAAAAACCAACAGATTTTTTGAGCCGTGTGGTAACTGTCTCTATTGGACAGATGAGGAAACTGGTGGAAGGAGGGCGCTGGCCTGAAGTCACAGCTGGCCCCTGGGGTCTGTGACCATGTGATCGACATGTGTCTTCTCTCCCTTCTCCTCCCAGGATGAACAAGGCCCCCACTGTGGGGTTTGAGGTTGATGTGGGGAGCAAGACCACCCACCACCTCATGTACCCCGAGAGCTTCAGGGAGCTGGCCGAGAACGTCAGCATGGTCCTGGTCCCCTTCAAGATCCTCGACCTGGAGTGGGTGGTCAGCGCCACCACCACGGGCACCATCTCCCAGTAAGCTCCCTCGGGCTGTCTGGATGGGGGGGTCCGTTGCCTGGCCCCTCACTGACCCTCCTCACCATGTGGGTGCCCCCCCCCACCACGCTGCTCCCTGCCCCACACACAGCCTGGCTCACGCTGCTTCTGTCCCCAGAATGCCTCTCTACACGCTTCCTCCTGGGAGGCACCAGCCCCGCAAACCACCTCCGACCCGCCACGCTCCCTGCTCCCTCACCTCCCTAACACTCCCTGGGGTTCGGCCTTTTCCCTCCTCCTGACCCACAAGTGGGCCAGCAGAGTGTGCTTCCCAGGAACCCTGGCCACTCCTGGGGAAGGGCCTGCTGGAAGGGGCTCAGCCCACCTCACTTCTGCCCCCTATCTCCACAGTGCTACCTGCTTCTCGAACTGAAAGTGGCCCTGGATGGGGTGGGGAGCAGGTGGGGAGATGGGGTGCTGAGCGGGTTGGTGCTGGCGTGAGTCACCCATCCTGTGCTGCCTTGAGACTGGGGAGCTCACACCCCCCGGGCATCCACTCGGCACCGGGTGTGGGCTGCCTGCTGTCTGGCCAAATAAATGGCCCCAGTAGTCGTTACCCTACCTCCCTCTGCCAGGGAGGACCCTGAGGCGTGGCTGGGCCTGGCGCCCAGGGCCAGACTGTGCAGCCCAGCCCCCGCCTGGTCCGCTCCCTAAGGCTGTACCGTGCCTGGGCAGCGTGGCTTCAGTATCCAGGTGGCCGGAGCCTCCTGGTGTGAGGCCCAGTGAAGACTGCGGTGCAGGACATGGGAGGGGGCTGTGCCTTCAGGAGAAGGGTTCTGACAGGGGAGAAGCCTGGTGGCCTGGGGCAGGGCCTTATCCTTCCCCCTGGTCCCAGGGGCTCGGAGCCTACGTTGCACCTGAGTTAGATCTAGAGTGCAGCAGGCGGCCTTCGCCTTGGAGGCACCAGGCCTTTGCATGTGAGAGGGAGGTGGCGTAGGCCTCATCAGCCAGCCCCCCCAACAGGGCGGTAGGTGCTCTGGCCTCCACGTGCTCCTTCAGGCTGCCAGGGGGGCTTGGAGCAAGTGCCCCTTTTTACCCTTTCTGGGAGGAGGCACAGAAAACAGCAGAAGGTCCTCAGATGAGCCAAGATCGCCCTCTGGTGTCTGTCACGGGCCACTGCAGGGCTGTGGCAGGGAGGTACTGTTGGGGAGAATCAGAGGGCCCCCTCGGCCTGGCCCCGCCTCCCTCTCTGGCTGCCCCCAGAGCTGCCCGCAGCGGCCTGGCCTGCTCCCCACATTGATGGTCTGTTCTCTCCTCCCGCAGCACCTACGTGCCGGTCCCTGCGAAGATCAAAGTGAAGAAGGATCAGGTGAGTGGGGCTGGGGCTCAGCCCACGGTGGGAGAGACAGCACCATCCCCTCCTCCACGTCCCCGCCAGCATCTGGCTGCCAGAGCCCCTGGGCACGGCTGGTGGCGGTCCCTGCTGGGGAGACTCGCTGGGAAAGCTTCTCCAAGTGGGGGCACCAGGGCCGGCAGCATCACCAGGGAGACTGTCCCCAAGGCCGATCCCCAGGGCTCCTCTGAGTTTGTGGAAGGCCTCCGGGGGTTCCAAGGAGGCTGCAGTTTGAGAACCACCGCTCTACGGTGTGAGCGTCTCAAAGCCAGGCCTTCCCTGTGTCTGCAGACCGTGCCTGTGTCCCCATCTTCTCCTGGGGTGGGGTTGGCCAAGGCTGGGCAGAGGGCCGAAGGCAGGGAAGCGGCCACCGCACTGGTCCTTTGCCCACTCGCTCTTATCTGGGGGGGGGCGGTCGGGGTCAGGGAGGCCAGGCAGCCTCTGCTGGGCTGTGGTGACCTGGAGCCTCAGCCCTCCTGGCCTCCCGCACGTGCCTGTCGTGTGGGGCTGCCGTGCTGTGGCGAAGAAGCCACATGGGGATCTGTGGGGCACGGGGGGGTGGCAGGGGCCCCAGAGAGGCCAGGCTGAGAGGTCACCGGGCTGGAGCACCATGCCTGCTCCGGGCCTCCCCGGGCTCCACGAGGCCTCCTGTATGTGTTGCCCTCTGCTGCCCAACAAGTCCCCTCGCTGTCCTCAAGGTCGCCGTGGGTGGAGGGGCCAAGGCCACACCTGGTGCCAGGACACCGCCTGCTCAGCCGCCACTGGCTGTGTGGCATTGAGCTCCTTACAAAGCCTCTTGAGCCTCAGTGTCCCCCTCGGTGTCCCCCTCGGTGTCCCCCTCGGTAACAGGAGAAGAGGGGAAGCTCGCATGTAGGGTCATTTTAGGGACCAGAGTTCATTCAGGCCCAGGCCAGGTAGCCCGGGTCGCTCAGTGCGTGAGTTTTTCTGCAGCGTGGCAGGTGTGTCCTTGTCCCTCCCTCCCTCCTGTTGTTCCCTGGACTCTCCTCCTGCGGCCCCACTGTCTCACTCAGTCTCTGTCCTCATTGAATTGTCGTGAGACGTCACCGGCTGGTCAAGCCTCCTCCCCGCCAGGGCTTTATCACCTGTCTCCGCTTTATTCCTCCCCCCATCCCACAGTTCCTCTCTACCATCTTCTCTGTCTTCCCACTAGAATGCAAACCCCACGAGCACTGGGGCAGTAGTTCCTGTCACATGTAGGTCCCCCCCCCCAGCTACAAGAGTGTGTCCCACCTGTAGGCGGCGGTGCCTTCCCGAGCCGTCTCTCTAAGGCCGTGTGCTCCCCGCCCACAGATCCTGATATACCACCCGGCCTTCATCAAGTACGTCTTCGACAGCTGGCTGCAGGGCCACGGGCGGTACCCGTCCACCGGCATCCTGTCCGTCATCTTCTCCCTGCACATCTGTGATGAGGTGCGTCAGCCTCCCCTGGGCCCGCTGCTCTCGCCGGGGCCAGGGCTTCTGAGGCGTGTTCCCAAGGGAGGCGGTGAGAGCATCTGTGGTCAGGCTGCCCTTGGCCCTGACCCCAGGCCCCAGGGGGCCTGCCAGTGCCTCTCGGTGGGTGCTTTATGGAGAACGCCCTCAGCAGTCTGCTCCTCTGACCTCAGAGCTGAACCCCAGTACCTGGGGCGTACCAAGCCCACTTTCACCAGAACTTCTGAGAGTGGGAACCAGGCACCCAGGGGTTCTGCTGTCCCCCAGGACTGACAGCCAGAGGTCTTGGGAAGAGTGTGTTCCAGACTGTGCTTGCCTCAGCATCCACCAGGCAGAGCTGGGTTGCCACCCTGGGCAGAGGGGCAGGAGGGGGACACAGTAGCCCCCACTTTCTCCCTGCTCCTGGGTTCAGGCAGGACACTGAGATGTCCCTTCCTGTCACTTATAGCCTGTCCCCACCCCAGCCTGCCTGGCTCTGGCCGGAAATCCCAGGGAGGGGGTCAAGGGGTGGCCAGGCACGCCCACTGTCCCTGCCTCACTTGTCTGTCACCATCCTCGGCTCTTGAACCAGCAACCTGGGTGTCCCTCCTGAAAGCCGTATCTCCCTCATCCCCCACCCGCCTCCAGCCAGCTGGTCACAGACCCACGGGGCTCTGCCTCAGAAATGCCACTCCCATCTCTCCCCTCCCGCTCTGGGGCAGGCTCATGTCCACTCTGGCACTGACCAAAAAAGCTACCCTTTCGACAGAGTCATCCCCTGCCCTCCCCGCCTGTCCCCACCCTTCAAATCTGTCACCCACGCTGCTGCTCAGAAAGCGCTCTTCTCCCTGGGAGACCCTCCCCATTTCCCTCCCCGACCTCTGCAACACACTCTCCATGACCCAACCCCAATGTCACCTGCTCCCTGTCCCATGCCACCAGAGCCCCGTCCCTCAGGGGCTGCTCAGCGGGCACTTTCTGACCTTGACCTTGATTTTACCTACCTAACTCGCTTTGGTGGCACCGAACCACAGGGAGTGTTAGGAACCTAGAGAAGGGTTTCTGTGGCCCTCGGGGACGATGTGTGCAGATTCGGGAAGGTCTGCAGGCTTCCTTTCTTAGAGGCTCTACCTGTTGCCTCACTGTCTGGTCCTCACCTTTTGCCGCCCCCACCCCCCCACAGGTGGACTTGTATGGCTTCGGGGCAGACAGCAAAGGCAACTGGCACCACTACTGGGAGAACAACCCGTCGGCGGGGGCTTTCCGCAAGACTGGGGTGCACGATGGAGACTTTGAGTCCGTTGTGACGGCCACCTTGGCGTCCATTGACAAAATCCGGATCTTCAAGGGGAGATGATGCCTTGAAGGGGTACAGATGGGTGCACCAGAGCTCGCCTCTCACGCCAGCCCCAGCTTCCGGCAGGAGCTGTTCCAGCCTCAGGGGTTCCAGCCCACGTACCCCTCGCAGCCTCCTGCACCCCAGCATCTGACAGCACCTGTGCAGTAGGGTCACCGAGCACCACCGGGGCTGCAGAGCATGTCTCAGAGCCGGCCCCGGGAGAGGAGACCCCTCGCTGCTTCGGAAGATGGGAGATTCCATCTTCTGAAGACGCCTGTGTTTTAAAAGGAAGGACCGTTCCCCAGGAAAGATGGGCAGAGACCTTCCTCGGCCCAGGGGTCCTGGGCTGAGTTCCAGACTCCGGTTCTTGCTGGTATGTTTCTGAGTGAGGACGGCCTCAGCACAGGGCTGCATGGGCCATGTCACCACCGGGGGCAAGATGACACCTTACCGGCACGACGCCTGGCCTCTCTCTCACTTGGCGTGACAGCCCTGTGTGCTCGCCCTGGAGGTCTGCATCCTTGGCGAGCTGTTTCCGACTCCAGCAGCCGTCTCCTTGCCAAGCCGATGTTCTCTCGGGTAATCAATCTGTCGTTAAAGTTATGGCTGAGAGCAGATCTGGCTACTTCCATGTGCCTTTGTATTTGGGGAGAAGTGCATGCGCTGGCTGAAGTGAGGCAAGCACCCCAACTCCGGAAAGGGGACCCCGGGCAACCACCCCCGTTGCTCTTAGCTGGGGACGTCTTCTCATTTCCTAAGGCAGCCCCCGAATCGGCCCAAAGCTCAGAAACCGTGGAACATCACTCCTTTTTCCACAGACTGCTGGACGTGGTGCCGTCACCTCCGAAGCCCACAGAGAGGGTCTTCCCCACCTGCGTTTCCCCCGAGGGCCCATGTTCTGGGCCCGGTCCCTGCTGGCCCGCTGCATGGTGCCCCAGGGTGGGGTCCCCTAGGAACGCGCCTGTCGGAGCAGGGAGAGTCGTACCTCATTCTCTCTTTCTTCCTCGTCAACCTTCCTGATTATTTATTGATTTTTTTGTTGTTGTATTCAGCTGACATCACGTGCACTTTCCGGCTCTGTTGCTGGTCCTGGGGTTTTGATGAAGCTTTCTCCTGCTCTACGCAGCAGCTGGGGAGTGGGGAGCCGTGTGCTCCGTTGGAATCCTGACTCGGGGGCTGGGGGTGCCGAGGATGGGTAACTCCTGGGGCAGGTTGGTGGGCTTGTGGAAAGCCCTGTGCCTCCTTCCCTCCCTGCTCCGCCTTCTCGTTTCTCCCTGGGATCGTGGGTCCAGCCTCAGGCCGGACACTCAGGACCCCTGGGACCGGTGAGAAGTGGAGTCCTAGGCACGTGGGGGAAGCGAAGGTTGGCCCCAGTGACTGACATTCATCAGAAAAGCCATTTTCCCTGTTGAGAGCATTTCCTAAAAGGCCGCCGCTACTCTGAGGAGGTGTGACAGGGCCCTTCCTAGTGGCCTGTGAAGGGAGCCGGTCTCGGAGCCAAAGGGCCTGCCTCCTCTGCCCCCTGCAGCGCCCTGGCCAGCCCTGCTCTCCTGGCCTCAGTTTCTCCTTCTGCAAATGGGGAGAGAGGAACTGTGGGAACTCAGGGGGACACAGCTGGTGTCAGACAATTCAAGAAAGTCCCCAGAAATGGCATGCCACATTTTTTTCTGAGTCTGTACATGTGAGCATTTTCCTAGGGAAAGGTTTTATAGCTTTTATTAGATTCTTAAAGATTCAGAATCCAGAAGGTGTTTTTTAAAAACAAACGAACAACAACAAAAAAAACTGTCCCAGCTGTAAAATCCTCCAAAACTCCATACTCTTGACTGATAAAGGCTCGTAGGTTGCTGTGAGGACAGGCCACCACAGGGCACGCTCAAGGCGGAACCTGACGTGAGACGTGAGGGACTCAGTGAGCGGCAGGTGGCTGGCCGATTCATCCCAGGGACAGACCTTAGGGAAGATGGTCACTGGGACAGTGGGACAGGGAGCAGTGTGACTGGCTCCTGAACCCCACTCCCCTTCTCCCGCAAGCCGAGTCTGTTCAGCATGTCACGGTCAGGACCAGGAGCCTGCTTCTTTGGGCTTTGCAGCCAGAGCAGGCCCCCAAAGGCTGGGGAGGACATGTCCCCAGCCAGGCTGCACGCTGCTCCGGTCTGCTGCCTGCTCCCTGTCCTGTCTCCCTCCTTCCCACCGGGCTGCTCAAGCTGTGGGCTTTCTTCCAGCCCTTGGAATCTGGCTCCCCCATTTCACAGATGAGAACAGCAGTGCCCAGGGAGGGACATGACTTGCAGAAGTGAGCTGATTGTGACTGACAGCACAACTCAAACATTTTGTGCAAAAATGGTGCGACAGACTTCACCTTTAAAACCTCCAGGGGTGGGCTTCCCCAGGGGGGCTCCTCCCATATCTTGAGGCGCTGTCCCTGGGGGCAGGCTGCTGGCTGCTGTTCAGCCTCTGGCCACCGGCTGCCGCCTCAGGCTGTCATGGGGGCTCCAGCAAGCTGTACTTCCTGCCTCAACGCCATCCCCCCAGGGAGGGGACAGCTGTGTGCTCCGTAGCCCCAGCCATGACACCTCCTTGTGTCTTACTCAGCAAAGGGGACTGACAAAACAAAGTAAGTACATTGTGGCTGGGATTACAAGTAAATGCATCAATTGTCTCAAAGCAACAGGACCCATATGGCTGGTAAGACCAGCTGAGGGTTGGACCCGAGTGTTTCTTGTAAGACATTCGATGGCACTGTGGGCAACAGTACAAGTCGCAGCCACTCAGGGAGACTCTGGCAGGTCCACCACCTCTCCACCCTCCCCGACCTCCCCACCCTCCTCATGGTTGGGTGCCTGGGGCCTAGGGCTCCTCCGTCATCCACCCTGCAGGCAGAGAGCTCCTTGGAGACCCGCTGAGGGCCCAGCCAGGGTGCAGAGATGCCCGAGTCTGCAGCCGTACAGGCAGGGGCCGATGAGGGAGAGAGAGCCCAGCAGCATCCCAGCCTTCAACCCCACTCCCCGCCTCTGCCCCTTCCCCAGAGGGCCAGGAGCGGGAGACACCTGTACGCTCCTCCCCCAGGATGCCCCGCCCTCACCCACCTGTTGAGAGAGAAAGGAGGCAGGTCCGTAGCCTCTGGCTCCCAGAGTGACCTGGGGCGGAGCAGGTGGAAACCCTCAGGTGTTGCCCAGTAAGCTACCTGGGCCCGGCGTCTCGGGAGAAACCAGCTGAAAGATGCGATAGGCAAGCCAGACGTGGTGGAGCGGGCGGTGCGTCGTGGTCTCTGCTGCGGCCGACGTGTACTGACTGGGCCTCTGGGTCAAAGGTGCAGTCAGTTACAAATATTGGAACTGCTGTTTGCCTGCCCTCTCCAAGGCAGCCTGACCCCAGAGAAAATGAAAAAAAAATGAAACTCAGGAAAGAGTCACCTCACCTCTCCGAGCCGTACCTGCCTCACCTGCCACGCACGGTCCCTTGCTCGCTTGTCTGGGAACCGCAAGGCCCGAGTGGCCGCTGTCTAGCGTAAGGTGGCTGGACGCTGGCCATGTGCCATCCAGACTCAGCACTGTCCTCTCCCTCGGACATCTGGGTTTCAGCCACTGGGCCACAGGCCACCAGCTAGCTGGTCACCCTCCCCTGGTGCCTGGGCTGGCCAGTGGGGAGGTCGAGTCAGCTCTCCTCCGCTCATTTGTCCTGGACACCAGCTCCCGACCCGGGGGTGCTTTGAGACACCTCTGTGCGAGGAAAAGAAGGGGGCTTAGGAGGAACAGCAACGACGGGCAGAGCGCATCTTGCCTGCAGCAGGCATTAGCACTTTCTTTCTTGGCAAAGAGCACCCTGCTTCCTCCGGTGGCCTCCCTCCTGATGTCCCTGGGGACTCGTGGTATCTGGGTTTGGCTACAGTACGGATCTGCCATCGGTGGCCCATGGCCCAGGCCCTGAGCCAGATGCCAGCTTGAACCCCCGCCCGTGTTGGGAGCCCCCGCCCCGCAGGATGAGCCGGTGCCCGACCTCGTTAGCGTGTCACGGAATTCACGTCAAAGCCAAAGTCTCCCGAGCACTTTTTCTTTTTGGCAATCTTGTTTGCTTGGTTGTTGGTCCTCGATGATGTTCCCCACCCCCACCCCCCGGCCTCACCCTCGTGTTTGGCAGCCGGGCGTTAATCTGGATGCGTTTCGAGTGAGGTTAGCGAGAGTCGCCATCCTCGGCCTCTGCTGTGTTTTATTTATTGTTGAACTCATTTCCAATGATCTGAATCAAAGTGAATTAAAAAACAAGAGCTATTTTATGGTTTGGGTGTTTGTGTCATTTTTCTAGGACGGCCGAGCCCTCAAGCTGCCCCTCACGGGTTTCCACTCAGGAGAGATTTCAGTACAGAGAGGACAGGAGGCTTCACCTCCTGGGCTTCCTGGGTTAGCGTCCACCCCTATTAAGTGCCCGGAGGAGACCTGTACCTCTCCCTGCTGCGTGACTGCAGGGCGCCAGCAAGCCTCAGCTGTCTGCTCTGTGAAGTGGGAGCCACAGCGGCAGCTGTCCGAGGTGGGGTGAGGTCAAGAAGAAACTCATCTTTCGGGGCCGATTCATGCCAGCTGCTCTGTGGAGGGCCTGGCTAGGGGAGGGGTTAGCTAGGGGAGTTGGTGAACTTAGAGGGCGCTCCGCTGTGGAGCCAGGCGGCCTCGTTCAGCCGCCACACAGGAGGTCTGGGAGGAGGAAGAAGCAGGAGGCAGGAGATGAAGAGCATAGAATGGGACCAGCTGCAGTGGGGGGACATGAGGTGACAGAAGCTGCTGGGGAAGGAGGAGAGGCAGGCGGGAGCTGGTGGAGGAGGCACGTCTCAGAGCAGGGGACTGGAGTCCTGCAGGCGTTGGGGCAGGGGACACTTACAGCAGCCGCTGTGAGAGCTGGGAGGCTGTGGGCACAGGTGTCCGAACAAGTGGCCTTCAAGATGGAGTCGTTCCAGGTGACGGAGAGCAGGTGGAGGGAGGGAGCAGACGCCCTGGGGGGCCAGGAGAGCAGGTCCTGCATGTGAGCTGCACAAGGACACTAAAGTCACCAGGTAAGGGCACAAGCTGGTCGTAAACACATTCAATATACAAAGTCTGCCAGGAAGAAAAGTAGGCAGCGAGGTGCTGGGTACCCTTGGTGGGAAAAGGCTAACTACTGTTATATAGTACTTAGGCTAGTACTGTTACAGTACTTTCCTTGGTTGGCAGACCCAACCAAGAAGAATTAGGGGCGGGGGGGAGTCTGGAAACATCAGTGGGTGTCCACAGAGCCACGGCACTCACCCCGACATCGCGGCCGGGAGCTGAACCGGAATCTGTTCCAAGTCCATCTCAGGAGTCAGGGCAGGGACCCTGTCTCTTTGCAGACCCAGGGCCTCCTGGGACATCACACACCTGGCACAGGTCCCAGCACACAGAAGACCTTAAGCAAAGGGTCTCGATTGCTATCAGTCAGCTCTGGGCCTCCATTCTGGAGCCTTCTGGCAGGAGTGCTCAGGCGTAACTTTGGCCACCGAGGGTGAATGCCCTGAGGCACCTTCAGATCCACAGATGTCCAGGTTCAGCTTTCTGCGGCCCCCACACATTCTGAGAACTCCTTCTCCCACTTCCCCCGTGCTTTACAGCAGCTGGACTGGCTTTCCCAAAACTTTGTCCGAAATGGGGAGGTATCATTGTTACAGATTTGCAGACTGCTGCAGGATTCCTGCCCTTTCTAAGTTCCCTGTTCTCCAAGGAGAGGGCTCAGCTGGATCGGGGCGCCCACAGGTCCCAGGAGTCACACGCCCAAATCCGGATCTTCTCTGGAAGGTGGGAGTGATGATTCCTGGTGCGTCTGCCTCCTGGGACTGTGGGGAAACTAACCTATTTTATGTGTCCATTCATTTTCTTGGACCTATACGTATGGAGAGCCACTGGGAGGTGAGGGTATGGAGATGGGTAAGCCAATGTCTCTGCCACCAGAGGGTTACAGACTAGTTGAGGGGCAGGCAACCGGTGGCGCCACCAGGAACAAATTGTAGATGACCATTGACAACCATGGCTCCCTTTTGTACACCATCAGTTTGAACTAAGCACTTTGCCTCCGTTAATCTCACTCATTCCTGCAACAGTTCTGGCAAGAGGCACGATTCCTGCTGCAGGACGAAGGAACAGCCTCCAGGAGGCGAAACAACTGCCAGGGAGAAGGTGTAGCCAGGACTTAACAAGCAAGGTGCTGAGTTTGGAGCACTGGGTAAGGATGATAAGCCTCCGCTCCCCTCCGGAGCAGTGAACGCTGGGTTCTCAGCTTTGCTCCAAGGCCAAGCACTTTGGAGAGGAGACCCCACAGGCTGTCTCCTCGCCTTAGAGCCGGCCCGTCCCTGGGAATGCCTGGAGCAGCCGAAATGTTCCTTCTGACCTTGGCCAAGAGTGCAGACCAGGCTGCCTACTGGTGATGGCCACCAGAGGGCGCAATGGACCCACAGTCAGCCAGTGGATTTCTTTCCACTCAGGGTTTGGTTGGGCACGAGCCACCAGAGCAAACACACAGGCCCGTGTATAAGGTCAGAACTTACAAAGGCTTGGCATTAGGTATTATCAAATCCAATGCCCTCCGGATAAGGAGATGAAGGCCAAGAAAACTGCCACTGGGCCAAGAAAACTGGGTCAAGAGGAAAGTCCCAACCAAGTGGGAAAAGGTCAGAACCCCAGGCAAGTGGACCAGCTGGAAGGCTCTGTCACCCAGCACTGCTGGCCTGGGGCTGGGCCGGACCCCCAGACCTTGGATTTCTTACTCCCACCCCTACTCCGTGACTCACTTACTTTGTAACCTCAAGGGAAAACCTGACCCCTTGGAGCCTTGGTTTCTTAGTCTGTAAGATGGGTATATTGGAAATGACCAGGCAGGCACCCTTTCCTGAGTCCTGTCTGTGCCTGGCATTATCATGCATTTTCTCACGTCTGGCAGCAGCCGGGAGGATGAGACCACGTCCTTCCTCCAGGAGGGGCTCAGACGCAGGCACTGGAAGCGATTCGTCCGTGGCCGCACACTTCACAGGGCTCAGGGGGATGGAAGACCGGACCTGGTCCCACCCACCAGACGAGACGGGCTAGTGCCTTGGTAACAGGAGCCCCCCATCTCGTGACTCAGAATGGGCGGCACAGGTTTATTTCCTGCTGCGTCAGAGTCTTGTGGGGTCTCTGACATGGTCCCTCCGTGGGTGACTCGGACTTCCTGGCTCCTTTCATCTCACAAGAAGGCCAACTTCAACTTGAACACGTGGGCTTCAAGGTCACCATGCAAGGGGAAGTGGGGTGGGGACGGCTGGCCAGTTCTGACTCCACTTGGAGTCACCCCACATCCTGTCCACTCTCGTGGCCACAGTGGCCCACGTGGTCGGAACAAACCTACAAGGGGTGCTGGGCACTGGGAGAGTCAAGGGCACTGACCATCTCTCCCAAAGTCTTCTCCTGATCCCACAGACCCAGACCCTGGCTCGGGGCTGGCAGGCGGGAGGCCCCTGGCCCTGGCCTAGGGTCAGTTCAGAGGGTGCCTGGGCAGAGCGCTGGGGTTCACAGACCAGTGAGCTGTGGGCCGACCAGGGCAGACCTTAGGGAGGGCCCAGGGGCAGAGTGTGCTGGAATGGAGACTGGTCTACCTCCCACCCGTGGGTGTTTGCTACTACCTGAAGGGCTGGCGTGTGGACAGGGGGTTGTCGCTATCCCTGCCACCTGTCCCCTCTGTGCAGGCCTGTCCCCCCAGCATACACCCTCCCAGGACAGCCTGGGGGAGTGAGCTCTGTCCTGGGGACTGCCGAACAGAGTCCAGAGGACTGTTTTAGGGACATGCTAGGGAGTAAGTACTCTGGAAGATGCCTTGGGAAGGGGGTGGTTCCGGCCCATGAATCCAGCCGAGCCTGTTCCAGCTGCTGTTCCCACGTGCTGGCTTCTGGAGCCTCTCCTCCCCACTCTGTGCACGGGAGCACTGGGATAGGGTCTCCAGCCTGAGACAGAGCAGCTGGCAGGTTGGCGACATCAGGGCCACCAGGATGCAGGGCCTAGGCCCAGCACTCTCAGCTCTCTGGACAGTCTACTGCATCATGGTTCAGGGAGGGGTGAGCTGTGGGTCCACTGTGACTGGGACCACTCAGGCCCCTGGAAGCGAGCAGAGAGCCCTGCCTGGGCGTGTAACGCACATGTGAGGACCTGAATTGGACACTGGGATGGATTCCCAGTGGGAAAGCAGGGCTCCAGGGCGAGCAGGGGCTCTCTCAGGGCAAGGGGCCCCTCAGGTCTGCTCTGCTGTCCCAGGGACCCCGAAGGGGTCAGAATGTTCTAGAAGTTAGGGCTGGATTCTCTTACTGAAATAGAAGGTCACTTCCCTTTCCCTGTGATGAGAGGGGGGGAGCCCGTGAGAAATGAGGGGCAGGGGAAAGGGGAGGCAGGAGGGAGGAAGAAAAGAACCCGGGAGGCGCCCTCCATTTCCTTCCTTGTCTACACAGGCGTGTTTCAAGAGATGCTGTCATACAGGGACACCTGTTTTGACGTTTTATTGGTTGGCTATTTTGTAACCAGTGTTTTCCACATCAAAAGGTTGTTTCCTAATCACCATTTTCACAGCAGTGAGAACCTCTCTCCAGGAGACCACATGCCTCAGCCAGCACCCACTGTGCCCCGGGCCTGGCGTCAGAGAGCAGAGCCGCCTCCTCGGGCCGGGCAGGAGGGCAGGGCTGCCAGGCTTTGTCTGGGCAAACCTCACAGTTAAATAGACAAGCCCAGGGGGGTGGGAGGGAAAGAAAGAGATAGAAAGGAAGGAGAGAAGGAAGGAGGGAAGGAAGGAAGGGGAGAGAGAAGGAAAGGAAGGAAGAAAGAAAAAGAAAGAAAGAAAGAAAGGAAGGAAGGAAGGAAGGAAGGAAGGAAGGAAGGAAGGAAGGAAGGAAGGAAGAAAGAAAAAGAAAGAAAGAGTAAGGTGAGGCAATGCTAAAGCTACTAATATATAACATTAAAATATCTATAATTGGTATTAAAAATCCTTTTAAAAAATGGAATAGGACAAATGTTTCAAAATCACGTCCCTGATGAGAGTCTGGTTTCCAGAATACATAGAGACCTGTTCCACCTGAGCAAAAAGGCGAACAGCCCAATTTAAAAACGGGCAAAGGGTCTGAATAGCTATTTCCCCAAAGAAGACAGACACACGGACAACACGCACACGGACACCCGCCCAACAGCACTGGTCACCAGGGAGAGGCCCGCGGAGCTGCGGTGAGTTTGCATGTTGTCCCCTGGAGGAAGCTGCAGTCAG